GATGAGCACTGGGTGTTGTGTGGAAACCAATTTGACAATAAATTGCACATTAAAAGAAAAAATAAATAAATAAATAAACATACCTTTCGCTGCTGGGAGGGGAGCAGGGTAAGAGTCGAGGTGGGAGAGGTGTGTCTGCGGACTTTCTCTGTGTTTGAGAAATAGCTGGCAGTGACTTGAACTAGGATTGGAGCAGGGCAGACGGTGAGAAGAACTGGAATCTTCTACCTAGGGGGCATGCAAGAAAAAAAAAGAAAAAATAATAATAATCCTCAAAGCTCTTAAATTTTAATATTTATTTTAAAGGCTTTGACCGTAAGAATCTTAGCGTACATCTGGAGAAACACACGAAAGTTTAAAACACTCCGTGTAACATAAAATAGGTCAGTGGCTGATCTGTACAGTGCAGGTAAACTAGTCTTGATAATTGAGGTCAATTTATCCCAAACTGGGGGATGTGAATTGAGGTCCTCCTGATGAATCAGTCTCATTTAGATGCTCTGCAGGAGATCACGGGGCTCCAAGCTGCTTGTGTTGTGAGAATGACGGGTAAAGGACTCACAGGCACCGTGGTCCATGTGTACGCACATGACCCCACATTCAAAGGGCTCTCTACGTGGATTGGATTCCAAAATAGAGAGTTAGGAAGAGACTCATTGCTGAGGTCAAATACCTGGTCAAATCTCCCCACAGCCACACTTGTGAAGCTTTTGGCCCAGAGACAGGAAACATAGAGTCAGAAACATGGTGAGCCACTTACCACAGCAAACTAGTTTAAAAATTCATATTTCCCTGTGGCCTCGGGACATGAAGGCCCATGCAGAAGACACTCGGGCCACTGATCCATATCTGACCACCATTTTTCCGGCCAAGGCCAGCCTCCCTTGTGATCAACTCAGTTCGGAGGAGAGAGAAGAGTACATCTTCATGCAGCGTTCTGTTCCTTTAGCTGTTCAAAGGCTTCGAGGACCTTGTTTGTTTTGAAACAAGTCACCAGCCTCCTCCAACCACATCTTCCCAACCTCACAGGACAGCCTGGCAGAAAGTCCGACCTGAGGACCTGAGGAACAGTCGGACCTGGGCCACCCTCTGTCACAGCCCTGCCCCATCCTTGTCCTGCTTTCTGGTTGCCAGTTTGCTTGTGTTTTTAGGGTGGGTTCACATCTGACCCTAGGGCCCTCTGCTCACCTGACTTTCTGTTAAGGTAAGATATGGTTCCAGTGCTGGACAGCAAGGGGGTCCAGAACACGGCCAGCAGCCTTTCAGAGACGGCGAGTCATTTCTATGTTCGCTCAGCCAGGGGGCAGGGGAGTGGGGGATGGAAAAAGAAGAATAAACAGGACTGTCTACAGGCTCCTGTCCTCCTTCTCACCGTGAGCCTGCCCCCAGGGAGATGACATGGCCAAGGCACTGGAAAAAATCTCTGTGGGGCTTAGGAAGACCCCAGAAGAGGATTACCCTTTGAGAAAAAATGGACGGGGGTGTGTCCACTTAAATAAAGAGGTAAACTGAGGCAAGCTCAAAGAGATGAGTTGAATCAGAAATAGCAGGGGGATTGCCATTCAGGACACACAAACAGCAGCAAGCTACACACAGGTCAGCCGCATGTTTGGGGCGGGCTCTATGTACGCGCGGAAATCGCAAGGGAGTTCGGTTAGAGTCTGTTGAAGTCAATAACAAGTGGACCCAGCTTTGAAAATTCCCCGGGCAGGTAGAACCGGTCCAGTCATACAAACAAAACTCAATTTAGCTCATTTTGTAAGCCAGCCCGAGCTGGGTCATTTCTTGTTCAGGTCCTGGAAACCATAAGCAAAATCTTTCCAAGGTCAGTAAGAGGCAATCTCTGATGAACTCCCTATCATTTAAGAAAATTCCAATAGTTTCAATTTTGTATAAATCAAGCATTTACAGGAAATCAGTCTCTCAGTCAAGTTACGTTTTTCTTTTTTATATTTATTTAAAAAAATTTTTAATGTTTATTTTTTTGAGAGAGAGAGAGAGAGAG